CGCGCGCGCGCGCGCGCGTACGAGTGATGTACAAGGTCACAAAATCGGATCACGCACAGGGACAAGACCACCCCTTCATCCCCGTCGCGATTGCCTCTTCGCGGACGGCGATGGTCCACGCTGCGTGTGTCACAACGAATCCGGTCGCCAGTTCGATCATTTCAACGGCGGGCGGAAGGAGGAAGGCGGCGGCGGCGGCGGCGGTGGCGGCGGCGGTGGCGGCGGCGGCGGTGGCGGAGGCGGCGGCGTTCCGGGCTGCGTGAATCGTTCCGGAACGTACGCTCGAAATGTCACTGCCTTCTCCGGAGCCGAGCGCGACCACATGATCTCACCGTGCGTAACGAAAATAACGGCATAATTCCCTCGTTCTCTCGCACCCCCGCACCGCTGCCGCTCTCTCGCCCGCTACGATACGTGATTTATCTCGCACCACTGTCGCCCTCGCGAAAAATCGCGGAGCCGCCGATCGCCGTGTCGTCGCGCGATTTCGATATCGTATTTCACGCCGTAACGCGTATCGCGAGGAGACCGGAAGGTACGGGAATCGGGAGGGTAGTAGAATAGCGAGGGAGAGAAGGTGGGGGAAAGGGACGTACGGAATAGAGTGAAACGGCGGGAAAGGGGGCTCGAAAAAGCGGGAGGTCTCTCCGGCGGGGACCGGAGCAATAGTTCCGCGCGGGCGGAAAGGGAAGAGAGAAAGGAACGCGAATAGACGAACGAGCGGCGAAGGAGAACGGTCCGGCGTTCTCTCTCCGCGGCGACACTACTCTTGCTGGAGCGAGTCCATCCGCGTCGAGAGACGCCCTGGTCTCGTCCTGGATGGCGCACGATCCGGAAAATCGCGCAAGAACGGCGCGGCGTGTCGCGTGGTGTCGCGCCGCTATCTCTGCCGCCGCTGTCTAGCCACCGCCGCCGTCGCCGCCACCATCACCACCCTCCCCCCTCCCCTCCCGAGGGGTGGCTCGGCACGCGCGCGCGCGCGCATTACCCCTTACTACGTCTACGATCAGCGAGCCAGCTCGTGGCATTTCGGTAGTACGTTATTTCGGGGGTGAGGAGGAGAAGTTAGCCACCCCATTCCCCCCCCGTCTATCTCTGTTCCCTCGCGAGGAACGGGGATCAGCGAAGGTGGAGCGGCCATGGCGGCGGTGGTAACGGCGACGACATCGCCGGCAACGTTGGCGACTAGCGCAATCTCGACTTCGTCGAAAGCTTTCTCGGCCACCCGGTGGCTCGCTCCGCGGAGCCTGGAGCCTTGCGTGGGGCAGGGACATGGGGGGGAAGGGTTGAGGGAGCAAAAGAGTGGGGTTACGTCGCGAGGAAAAGACGGGCGATGGTGATGCGACGGCGGCGGCGGCGGCGGCGGCGGCGGTGGTGGTGATTGCGGGGTGCGCAGGGGATGATAGGTGAGGGGTGAGGGATAAAAGCAGCGGAAGGTGGAGAAGGCCCGGCGCCGTTCCGCGGAGGACGGGACGGGGGTGGGGAGCGGCCCCGACCTTACGCCACGTTACGGGGGTGTAACGCAGCGCAAGCCCGGTATCATTGATTTAACATATATCTATATCTTACATAAAGACAGCGAGAGCTTTTCCTATGGCGAGGCGAAGGTAACATCGTGTTACACTTGTCCAAGCATGGCAGAAATAGCGTTATGCGCGCGAATTACGCAATAACACGGTCATGAGATATGTCTCCTCGTCAGGGAGATCATTTGAAATAAATTGACAAAAAACGAGGTTCGCACGATGGAATATTCTAGAGAGTAGTATCGTTGATTATCGATCATTGAAATTTTCTTCGAAAAAGAAAACTCTAATTGTATACATAGATTTGCAATTTTAATGAACTGATGACTAATGTTTAAGTTAAGTTTTAAATAAATTTAACATTTCCAGTAAATATAAATAATTCTGATTTTATTTTGATCTTAGATTGCGACAAAAAAATGAAAAATCGAATGTTTTCTGTCTTGCATCTGTATTTGCGCATCAATATTCGATAAAAAGTTCGCATAAATTCAATAATTACAAAACAGAAAAATTTTTCATCTCTCCAATATAAAATTAACAAAATGCATACTATTTTCTAACTATACTTTATAAATCTGTTTGTATTATTAGATTCTAAATTTTCACTACAATTTTATTAAAAAAACGTTTTTACAAAGTTAAAAATCGCAAAAGATGCATGCAAATTGAAAAATTTCCAAATAGTAAATCGAAGATCTGAGAAAATTAAGTACAGGAGGAGAAAATTTATATATTTATTTATATTTTTGCTTCATTTATATATACTTGCGTTTGAAATATGCAGAAACCATATGTAAATATTTTATTTATTTATTTCAACTTTAAAAGAGTGAAAACTTAGTGTCATTTATACAAATATTTCTTATACACATATACGTATTCTACTAGTTTCGTGATTGTAAGTTATACCACTGCATTCTTATTTTTTTCTCGCGAAAATATCTATTCTACCGATGATGGAAAGATCTGTAATGCGCACTGTTTTAAGAAGTTTTCGCGGAATACATTTGTCCGAACATGTCCAACTTAGCATAATATACAAGTTGTGCAATAATTTACATTCGTGCTAATTACACATATACTTTTTTCTAAATTTTGTATTTGTAATATGCGACGAGAGATATCTGAACATATAAAAGAAGAACCGAAATGCGAAAACGGATAACGATTATATACATATTATATGACGGGTATATCATATAATACATACAAATTCACGTAGTTGCGCATAACGTATTCCAAAAGATACCTAATGCGACAATATCTAAAAATTGTACACAAGAAAACCGTGACACATGATAGAGAAATGTTTCTTTGTGATTATTTCATTCAGGGTCTTCATCAATTTCAATTTCAATCAACTATACTTCATTACATATTTAACATTTTTCACGGTTAGTCACACAAATTTCTTAAATCACTCAATAATTTTGTGCGTAAATTGATAAAAATGTAAGAAAGACTTAAATAGTATCACATATTAATGTATTTTGCCACGTGTCTATAAATTTCCAACTTTACAAATACTATTGTACGAATCATATAATTCGTTAGTAATTCGTTCGCTGTAATTCATTGTAATACGTATACACTGCATCGGGCCAAAAGATTTAAAAACAAACCCCTCATGTTATTTCCTATGCAATTACAGCTTGTGCAAAAACGAAAAGTAAGAAACGGGACTTTACAGCTTACTATTAAATTAACTTGTATACGCTATTTCGTGTTCGCATTAGGGCATTACTTCTGTCACACGTGTATTAACGATAGGTCGAAGCTCCTGCTGCGCGTAATCTTCTGGTAAGGGTAGCTGAGATATTAGACGAATTAACAACTTTGTGACGGATCTTTGCTCGTTTTTCTGTAGTAGCAGCATATTCCTAGTCAAGTGTAGACTTCTCTTTGCAATTTCAGCCTGGCATAATCTAGATATATGAAAAATTTTATCATACCTATGAAGAGAAACAGTGAGATGTAAATGGTATGTATTGATCATACCTATGTTTAGCAGTTGGGCATGGAAATTGATCAATCTTCTGACACAAGCCCGTTAATCGAGGTTTCAGCGCTTCCATTTGATAAGTTAATCCACAGTAATCCGGAGCAGATTTTAATAGCTTCTTAACCTCGTTGGTTATTTCCATGTATTCCCACAAGAGCTCTCCTTGATGCGACCATCCACTAATTGTGCCACTACATTCGACTAGCGGACTCAATAATGATTTTAAATATTCATAATTTTCTGTAATATAAAATATTATGTAATTATAATAATATACAGTATTGATATGTAAAAAGAAAACGAATCGATACCATTTATTATAGCATCAGCTGCCAGATGTTCTATAATAATTTCATGGGCCTGAGTCCATTGTTCCGCCTGGATGTAATACCAAGCTGCTTCGCCATGCCTGCAAATATCGAATTTTTCTAAATATTACGCACAATTTTATTTTATTCGGCAAACATATCAATTATTTCTTTTTTATTTAATTTATCTAATTTAGTTTAGTAAATTAGTATATCCCAGATATTAAATACCTCTTGTTAATGCTACTTTTAATGGCTTTAGCTTGATAGATCCAAACTGATGATATACCAAGCTCTTCCTTCAAAAATTGTTCACGTTTCGTATATTCCGGGGTATCGTCTATTTCTATGTGACGTAACAGTAGATCTTGTACAGCAGTTCGTCGTCTAGAGGAGTCTCGTAAATGTAATACTACAAAGATCGCCCAGTGCCACAGTCCGTGTGCCTCCAATTGACTCGCAAAGTTTGTATGTGTTAATGCGGCAACGTGATCGGAGAGATGCGTGTAACCCAAGGCTACGAGCGTTTGTTGCACCAACCAACTATTGCATAAGACGAAATATATAAATCGCTTAATATATTTCGCTTTAAAATTCGAAAGAATATCGAATATTTAACAATAGGTTAGAAAATATGAAAATCAATAACTATTGATATTTTAAAATAAATAGCATAAATAAACAAATAAAGAATCCGTATAACTAATTGTCTATCTAATTTCTAAATCCTGAAATGTCGAAGTATACGAAATTACCTCAATCTATAATCCAAAGGATTAGCGGTGTACGATAGTGGATTTAAAAGTTCGCCTAAATCATGATTTCCTGTGCAATATAATTTCAAAAGATGGAAGCAGAGATCGTGTATCCGCTTGCCATTAGTCAACTCGGCGTCATAGTCATTCTCCTTATATTCGGGTTCCGGAACTGCCGCGTACGCTTCAGCCTCCGTTGTATCGAAGGATGCTTCATAAAGGTCCAAGGCATCGGTGATCGAGCAAGTCGGTGGCGATAAGTACCACAGATGGATAGCGAAAGCCCGTTTCCAGTCCAAATCCTCGCACACATTGATAGTGCCGTGTTTGCTAGAGATGAGTGGCACTCCCGCAATTAGCATGAACAGCTTCAGACGATCGATCGTGAGATTTTCATCCACATCGGTCTCTTGCCATAAGGCAAGTTGCTGCTTGATCAGTTTCTTGATTGATTCGCCGCTCCGCAGTTGCGCCATCAGTAACGCCAGACAATGATCCCCAGCCTTTCGCGCTTCTTGGCAAGCTTCCTCCAGCTTACAAGCAGAAAGCAGCGACAATATTATCTTCTCATGAAAGTTTCTAGTCTCAATGCTGTCAACGCTTTTGATCTCTCTCTCAACCGTCTTCTGCACTACATTCTTCAACCAGTCACCTACAGCCTCTCTCCTCATCATAACGTTATAATGTTTTTCATTGGTATTATTGATTGCTTCCTGATCGATATTTCCCCAGAGTGCCACGCAGAGGGTCCACACAATACTTGCGTATTGACGAAATGATCTTTCAGCGGCACTACTGCAGAGTGATTGCTCGTCGTTGGCATCCTCGTTCGGTCTCTGTTCCTTTTCCACGAGATCCTGCGCCAAAGTGCAATGCAATTGCAATGCTTCGTTCGCGGTATCGGTTGCTACATCGAACGTAGGACAGTCTCCCTCTTGACCCATCACACAATGATCCAGCTGAATTCTCAAGTGACGTTCTATACTGTCCTTGAATGATTTCGCGTCGTGCTCGTCGCCACCTAGGATCTGCAGACGTTGAACGATCACCGTCGACGTGATGTCGTCGATAAAACGACCGGACACATAACAACTCAGTTGACTGAATGTGTTTCGCAGTTGCATTTTAGTTGCCTGATCTTGAGTGCTTAAAGACAGCAATGTCAAACCAGCACCCCAACTTGGTCGAAACATCCTGCCCATGTAGATACCAGTGTCGGCGATACAACGAAATCGCAACTTGTTCAATCTGGATTCTTCAAGCGGTACGACTTCGTAATGATATTTCAAAACACTCGTTACTGGGGTGGCCATACGTGGTAGGATCGTTCTTTCAATAATTGGCTGTTTATCCTTCACGCTGGTACGCGATAAATGCGACTTCTTGCTCGATGTATAAAGCGTGTTTTCCGGACATGCAGAAAACAACGTTTCGTTTGTGGCAAGAGTCGATCGCAACATCATAGCGTTGTACGAAGCTTCATCGTTCTTGGTCTCGTTAACATCTGGAAAATAACGTATCAAAGTTTTCTGTACGGAGGGGAATATGTCGTTGCTCGTTTCCTCGCTCATATCCTCGTCGTGCATGTCAAAAAAGCTTGCTTTCATGAGCTGCAATTTATGACTGTCTGTACCAGCGACTCGGGCATTATCGCCGATCGGACTAACAGTCATTCGCTTTTCGTAACTGTAATCCCCGGGTGTATAACTAGCACGGCTAAATGAACTTTCCCCGAGGGACTCATTCCTCGTTCCTCATAACTCTGATCGTTGTAGGCGAAGCGGCTGATTGGAGTTTTTCCTAAAAAATTGCTCTCAACATTTGGATGCTTGCCGTTTACGATTTTCGTATCGCCGAGCGTTCCATTAATCGTTCCATTGATTGCTTCCTTATTCGTTGCAGTAGATGGATCAACAGACTTGCCCTTTTGCAGAGATGCGGGAAATCCTTTCAGTTTCTTTACTTCCGAATTAGGCGGAATCTGATTGTCATCCTCGTCTGAATCACTAAGACCGTACTTGGAGAAGTGGTCGACTTTGAAGACCCACGAGCCAGTTTCTGGTCGATACTCGAGGAAACGAGTATCATGCTTCGCGGATACTCGGCGTAATTTGCCTTCATAGTTCATTGCAGCGAGTCGTTGTGGATCTGTAATCGGCTCGTGCAGCGACTTGTCGTGTGGCCACACTTTGTCCAGAGTGACCTGTGCCCTTCGGTTCAAACCTTGTCCCACCGGTGGTTTCTTCTCATCGTCGGGATAAATAATTACCTCTTTATTACGGAAGTGTACTGTAATGACAAACACAATGCCAATCAATATAATTCCTCTTTCAAAGAACAATCAGTTAGTCGTGATAAAATGTGAATACTTAATATTATAAAAATAACATAACAGCATATGATGTTTATAAAAATTATAATTTATAGAAATTACCTATTTCATCGAGATTCAAGCCATATATATCAAACGAATCCGGAAAGTATACATTGCCATAACCCTCGCGGCCGATTGTAAAATTTGGTACGATGCAGGTTTCGCCGCAGACAAAATCGTCTAGTTTATCGAGCGACGGAATAGTGTAGTAACCTGCTCGTCGTAATGTAACTTTGGCCATGTTCATACTCCAATTAGATTGTAACATCGAGAATGAACCATCGTCTGTTTCTTGACTGGATTCTGAAAATCGAAAAGCAATAAAATGAAAAAAAGCTTGTTTAAAAAAATCTTATTAGAGAAAAATTTTGTTTAATTTGAAAATTTACCTGCATTTGGCATAGAAAGATTCACGGAATTTCTATCATCAAAAGTAGAGTTCAGTGGGACTTCGGTCAAATTAATCGTTTCTGAATGATTCGTATTTGACGAATTGTTTGGCGATCTAAATTCGGCCACCGTATTATTTACTTCCTCGGGTACATTTGTTCCAGAAAAGGGTGATCGCTGCCCCTCAAGCAATTCATCGTTCGACTCATAAATTTTATTCTTTCGCGGAAGTGTCGACTTCAACCTACAAAAATTATATTTAAAAATACTCCAATTTACATTAAAAATTACATTAACATTTGCGATAACATTTTATAAAATTACAAGATAATAAAATGTGAAGTGTTTTACCAAGATGTAGATGATCGTCGATCATTGGAAAGTCGATTATTGTCTTGGCTGTGATTTTCTTTATCGTTCACTTCAATATTGTTACTGTGTATTACATCTGATGTATCGGCCCTATCATCAGTGATACCATTTCTTGTCATTCCGTTTGATTCTCCGTTTTCAGCGGGAGAATCAACTGAGGAATTTGTCGCAGACTTTGGTCGTAACACCAAACGTTTTGCACTTGGCCGAGGTTGGAAAGCTTCGGTTATCACGGGATCTTCTTCTTCAAGACCATCAAACAAAGATTTCTGAAATAAATGTTTTATGAAAAAATAATTTATCATTTCGTCTAATAATAATAATAATAATAATAATAAAATATTTTGGAATATTTGACATTAATAGATTTGAAAGTTAATTTGGTACTTACTTTAGATAACTGTGCAGAACTGACGACTCTTGTTTTGATTTTTGGAGATTTGTTATTGGCGGTAACTCTGTATTGCGGACTGTTTAATACTTTTGAGGTTGGATTTGTGGGCTTTAAGAGTTCTTCAGCTTTTCCAGATGCCTGTACAGATCAATCAAAATACAATCAAAAATAAATTACAATAACATTTCTTAATCTTTTTCAACATATCCTCAACAAGATACTTACTGGTAAAAGATTCTTCAATAATGGTGAATCGCCAAATGGTGCAGAAACGAGAGCCAAAATTTGTTGATGCACTGGTACAGAACCATTCGTTTTAGCTTGATTCGATGCCACTCTAAAATACGTATATTAGCATAGATAAGTATTAAATATTTATATAATCAAGAGAGCTTTTAATTGATCAAGTTGAAAAATTAAGATTTAAAATTAAAAAATTAAGAAAGAGTTAATATAACTAAAGTGTAAAGATTGCATTACCCTCCATTAAGCAAGCCCATTCCTGTTCCAGACATCATATTAGAGCCTGTTCCAAAAGTAGAAGATCCAAATGTTCCAGGATTATTAAATGTTGTATTATTTGCGGTATTTCCAAACAAACTACCCGGCTTTTGTTGCCCAAACAATGAAGAACCGCCGCCCAAGTTTAATCCAGTATTTGTACCTATAATATAAATACATACGTACAATATTAGAGCATTAAATATTGATCAGAAATATGAAATAGGATTAGGTATATAAAAAAATACCAAGTCCAGTAGAAGACGCAGATGTAGTCCCAAAGGAAAATCCTGATGTTTGCCCAGCTGGTTTAAATGACGAATTAAACAATGACGATCCGGTATTGGAAGCCGAATTGAAACCTGTATTAGTTCCAAATGTGGAAGGTGCAGCAGTACCAAATGTAGATGTTGTTCCAAATCCAGTGGTAGTAGTTTTATTACCAAACAACGGTGTAGTAGTATTTGTTGCTGGTTGACCAAAGCTAGTGAAGCCAGTACTAGTCGACGTCGATGGGATATTAAAAGCAGATTTGTTCTGATTAAACAGTCCAATACTCTGTGAATAAAATTGAATATTATTTTGGTTTCTATACATAATATGTATATATTGTATATTACCTGATTAGGTTGTGTGGAACCAAATGCAGATCCAAATCCTGTATTCTGTCCAGTATTAATACCAAAACCTGTTCCTGCAGTTTGATTAGTACTACTATTGCCAAAAAGCGGTGTCGGGGCAGCTGCTACAGATAAAATTTTATTATTTCATATTTTCCATACTTCTTTAAAAATTATTATATCAATTCTTTAATAAAATAATGTAAATACAAAACAAAAAAAAAAATAGAAAAGGTAGAACACTACTAAAATAAAAAATATCATCTTCCTCTTGCTCAAATTTTCAATGTACATTCTACGGTTCAAACAAAATTTTGCCAGAAAGAAAATTATTTTTTTTAGTATAAAGAAATGTATTGTATATTTCGCGTGCGAATTTTGCGACATTCTATATAAAAAATGTCGATGAAATTCATAACACATATATACAGGAATAAACAAAATAACTTACTACCAAATGGTTTTGTTTGAGTATTAGTACCAAACAAATTTGTAGTAGGTGTATTGAATGCAAAACTGTTGGTTGTTGTGGTAGCTGGTGTTCCAAAATTGGTAATGGGCTTTCCAAATAATCCAGTTGATCCTGATTGGCTGGTGGTACCAAATCCTCCGGTCATTGATCCAAAACCTTCAACAAACAAAATAAAATTTTTAAGAATCTTTAAATAAATATTAAGCCTTGTACAAAACGACAAGTACAAATGTTTGTGTAGCATAACAATATATATAATTATTTACAAAATTAATTTCAATTTTTATTTGTTCAGCCATGTTCATTGTATATGTCCATTGTATATGTTTAATTCATGTTATTTCGAATATCTTCATTAAATCGATAAATATATCGCACAACTTACCAGTTCCAGCTGTACTAGTACCAGCTGATGTACTACCAAATGGTGTTTGCGTTGACGATCCAAAAAGTCCTGTTTGTGGACCTGTTCAAAAAATGAAAGAAAAAAAATAGATCAATATTTCACTTTTTGTTAAATTTAATTTGGCTTTTGTGTGAACAATGTACCCTTTCTTCCAACTTGATAATCTTCGAAGCGCAATTCTTCGTATGATTTTGATTCATATTCTTTCATAGATGCAATGCAACAATGACGGGCCGAAATACTATGTGATATTCCATTTTTGGACATAGAATCGGTTGTAATGAGAGGTGTAAATTTTACTACAGTACCAGTTGGTACAGTGGTGGTGTTAGTATTGCCAAAACCTATAGAAAGAAATTAAAGCACTTGAAACTTTAAACAATACACACACACACACGCGCGCGCGCGCGCGCGTACACCCCGCACGCACGCACGCACACACGCATACACAGTTGCGCTTGTAATTTACCTGTAGTTGAACCAAAAAGATTTGTATTTGGGGTAGTATTGGCTTGACCGAACGGAGTAGTTTGTTGTGTATTCTGTTGTGGTTGTCCAAACAAATTGGTTCCAGATGTCGTGCCGAAATTAAAACCAGGTTTATTCGCTTGACCAAATGCCGAAGTTCCTGTACTTGTGCCAAAAAGGTTTGTACCAGCATTTTGTTGAGTGCCGAAAAGATTAGTGCTTGTATTTGTTGTCCCAAAGCCTGTAGAAAAAATAAAGATATATTTGTTAAATACACGACAAATATATGACAAGTCAAAGTTTAATATTTAACATTTATTGATTTAATGTTCAACCTCTATAAAGTAAATCACATCGAGTAAATATTGTAAAATATTTTTCATAACACAGAAAATGATATAACAGGCAACAAAATAAATCCTATCAAGATTAACATTAAGTCAATTTGTCTTTTATGATTTTGTTATATTTTGTTCTTTAAAATATTTCGAAATTTTTGGATTATAAAATGCATTTTTTAAAAATATATATATATTTTTTAGAAAATATATAATGATCAAGGATGTTTCAAATGCATGCAGTCTTGATAGTATACACAGGAGAATGCTCTTTAAGTTATACATGCAAATGAAACAATTTATGAATTGCTACCTCCAAAAGACGGTTGCGTATTAGTGGGCTGTCTAAATGCTGGTGGCGTTGTGGTATTTCCAAACAAGCCACCTGTAGTAGAACCTGTGGGCTTAGAACTAAAGAGTGATGAAGTATTGCTACTACCAAAGACAGGTGTTGCGCCACTACCAAAACTTGTTGTAGTAATGGGTTTGCCAAATGCAGATTGGCCAAATGGACTATTTTGTGTTGCTGTACTAAATCCAACCTAAAAAAAAAAAAAAAAAAAAACAAAAAAGAAAAATTTAAATTAAAAAGTTCTCAATTTCTTAGATGAGATATATATACATATGTACATATATGTATAAAATATACATACTGAACGATGTATTTCCAGTTTGCCCAAACATGCTTAAAGTTATATTACAGAATCTTGCTCAAGCAATCTGAAACAAAAATTAGATGAGTTAAAATTACTTCATAAAAATGACTCTTTTTTTATACAGAATATTTCATAAGTTGAGGTCAATCGCTCAAGAGATGAATGGGGACCCAAAGACAAGAAAAGTTGATATAAACATAGGTTCGAAAATGTGTTGTTTTTAAGTTGCAGCATATTTTTATATTGAAATTTGAAATTGCTTTGCTTTTGAACTTTTTGGTCAAAATTGAAAGGAAGGATGGTCCTTATGTATTTCATAATATTCAAGTTAAATAAATTTTATTTAATTTTAATTACGTTATAAAAGATCTCATCTCAAAGATCTCATCTATTCTTTTAATTTTGACAAAAAATTTGAAAGCAAAACAGTCTATTAATATATTTTCTTGACAAATTCAATAATATCGTGCAATAATATCTTGTAATGATGTAACGATGTATGTAAACGTAAACATTGCATCTGTCTATATTTATTATTTTTCTCCTACACGTGATAGGCGCAGTATTGCGTGTACGAAATCATTGTTCAATTGGAATTAAAAAGAAAAAAAGGATAGAGAGGAATAAGACGAAAGAGATATTTTGAAGTAAATTCAATTTCTATGCCTCGAAATACATAAAATACATAAATTTCACAAGAATCGTCAAGATTCTCTCTCTGTTCTCGCAGTTTCAGAAATAAAGGCGCGTAATACGCATTAAGCTAGCTTTGATTAACCCAGAATCTCCATTGTGCAAGCAAAAGGGAGATTCCGAGTGTTCCGACAAACTACTCGACTGAATGGCCAATTGTTACTTTCAATTGTCCGAAAGTTTACTCACCAGCCCGAATAAAATTCACTTGAATTCATGAATATTTCTTTTAAGATTGTCGATAAATTTGACACAAAGGTATTACAAACGTATTTGCACGCAATTATTACACACAGAATGGTATCGCGATGCACGAATTTTTAGGGTTACCAAACTCCCAACTACCAGTGTTCCCAATAGCAAGATTCAAAAATACAACAATTAAAACAACTTTGGAACTCTTGTAAAAATCTTTGATATGATTGGCTTTTGGCCCTTAATTCCTTACGGATCTAAACGTATAAACAAATCAAATTGAAGAACCTTACAATAGTTTTAAAGCTTCTTTCTCTGCTAAATGTAACCATTAATCTCGGTTTACAATAGATAATTTAAACTTTAAGCCATAAAAAATTGACCAATCATAGTCGATTATTCTCCTATTCTTCGACTATGATTCGCCCATTTCTTATGGCTTAATGCTTAAATCACCTATTGTAGATTGGGATTTAGGTACTTTCTGTTTAGTAACAAAGCAACACAACATCATTCTATCTTTCTTGGTATTCAATAAGTCTGTTTTTTCTCTTTTCCTTTTCAAAGGGAGAGAAAAGGAAGAAAGATAAACTATGCAAGAAATTTAGCAAGAAAAATTCATCAGATTAAAACATTTCCAAACTCTGACAGATGTGGATATGTTAAATGGGACGTTCCTTTCGTATAGGATTTTTGAACGCAGTTTATCGTATTTCGCGATATACTTAATACATACACACACACACACACACACACACACACATATATATATATATATATATATAATATAATATGTATTCATATATACTCGATTTGGAGCGATATTGTTTAAAGATGATGCGGTTACGTTCGTGCGTGATTTTTCCAGTATCTTTCGAGCATTTCCGTCAATTTACGTGTGACGTTGTGTGAGAAAAAAAATATCAAAGTAGGAGGGTATTGTTCCTTCGCGTTATTTGTAAATATAGCCAGCAAATCTGGATGAGACCAGGGAGAGGATGATCGCCGCCTCAGAACCGGTGGTAAGCTGGAATATTTTTAAATTGTCATTATTTAACATATTCCATACGAGTGAAATAATCAAGAAAATTAATAATATATATAAGATTTTTAATACAAAAGCGTTTCTTTTATAGAAATCTTATGACATAACATAAAAAATATTACCTGTTTTTGAAATACTCATCTGACATTTCAATTTGTTATTCAAAATGTCTCTGAATGACGCCTTTTGCAACTAATAAAATTAATGTCTTTTCTTGATAAAATAATATCTTTTTTGGTATTTTCACTTTGTATAAGCCTCAAAATTGCAAATTGAAACAGAAATTTGTGTATAATTGAGTTAACCCATTAGATTATAACATTAAATGACTATATTTAATTTATATAAATAACAATAATATTACTGTGAAATATATAAAATGAAAAGAAACCTTAACAGAAAATTTATTGAAAATAACATGATTACTCAATGATATAAAAAATGCTTGATGTTTTTTTAAGGAATACAAGCCAGGTGGTCGAGAAATAATCTTGAACCATCCTGGATCTCTAATCAGTCAGCAGTTGTCCAATAATCGAACAGTTGGTGGAGAAAATGTCCTATTGAAAAGATTCAGTGAAGTCAACATATCAGAAAAGTCTCCTGTAAGATTTTGAGAATAATTATAATAATGAAGGAAGAATGAATTTCTAAGGAGATTAATATCTGTAATTAACAAAACATTTGTTTTAAAACAATCATATTGATTTGAACATTTTGTTAATGCAATGGAAAATTAAATAAAATTAAATTTGAAAAATATTTCCTGAAATTGATTCTCTTATAATTCATATTATTCTATAAAATTTAAGATGATATTTAATAACAAATTCATGTTCCTAGAGAGAGACATGGTTGATACGCACTAATAAAATATGCGGAGAAGAGGAATTATATTATTCGGGTAAAGTAGCGGTGCACTGTCAGGGCAATCAAAGTACTCGAATACTTAAGACAACTTATACATGTGAAACAGACATTAAGCATGCACTTTGGTGTAGTTTTCATACAAGCATTCCAGATCACTTGAGTAAAAATAAAGAATATGAAACTGAGGACTCCACTAACAAATTTATAGAGTGTACCTGCTTACTTGACTCTTATACTCTTAAGGTTTTCACAGAGAATGGTGAAGATTATGTTTCTGCTTTACAATTTCAGGTAAAGTATACTTGTTTTTTATTTATTAATTTTATTAATTTATTTTTTAATTAATTTTTTATTAATTTATCATAATTTTAAATATATTAATTGAAAACAGGTCTCTGCTGTATGGCCGACAAAATATGGAATTATACTTGAAAAATCTCAAGTGCCAATCAGAGATTCAAGGTATATAAAATTCATTTAGTAGTTAAATTAGAAAACAGAACAATTATCATACATTTCAATGATAACATCTCGATTATATTTACATTTAATTTATATTTTTATATTCTTTTATTTACTCAATTAAATATAACAATTTGAACTATATCACATTGACATGCTTATATTTTATTTTCAGATATAATATATCACTTGAAAGCAGCAGAGCTCTGCAAAACGACAGTAATTTACCAGTGGCCTTTTCGCTAATGCATCCATTAGATGAGATTTGTCCTTTACTTATTAAGCATGGTAAAGTTTCATTTGTGGAAATCAGCATAAAGAATATTATATATGTATTATAAAAAATATACGTGTTATCGCGTATCTTATGGGTGAACATTAAATATCTTAATTAATTCTTTTTATTTCATTTACTATTGAATGAAATATTTTAGGAGTTGTGTCATATATGAATGAGTCAAGTCAACAAATTATATTTACCAGTTCAGAACCATCTTTTGCAGTAATATATGATACAAAAACCGGCTTACATTCAGTTTACAAAATTCGCAAAGCATCAGTCGAGGAGTGCCACATAGTTTGTGGATGTAATGACACGAGTCTATTCAATCATTCAACAAATATGTCACCATTAAATGTTGGCAGCGGTTCCGCCAACAAAAGCTGTACTAATAAAGCTTCCCTAAGTCCTTTTCTTCTTGGTAAGTAATATCCTTGGAAAAGAGATGTATGCATATAAAAATTAAAATTCAATTAAAAACAATTTACATTTTATTTGTAAATCAAACATTAATTTTGACATTTTAACATTTGCAATTTTTTTCTCTAATTTATTTTAAAAAATTATTAATTTTCAATCATCTCATACACACACGCATGCGCGCGCGCATATATGTATATATTTTAATTATAAAGCATAATTATATATAAATTAATTAAATAAGTAAGAATATCTGTTACAGGAGTTCCAAGCTTACAAAATAACACTGGTATAAGTTTAGGATTGTCTAATACTCCGTTTGGATCACGTACTAATTCTTATAGTACAAATTCGGGCGGACCATCACCTTCTCAGCAACAACAACACTCGCGTTCACATAGCTCGATGGCCACTATTTCACGTTGTCAGTCACCTACGCATTCAGCGGCTATGTCTCCTCTTGGAGTGCCTGTGAATTCAAATATCTATCACAGCCGATTACATCAGACTGTGATGGTAGCTACGCATCAAACGCATAGCTCAGCTCCTAATTACAACAGCGTTCGACTAAATGATATTGCGATTGCAAGCAAACCTTTGTATCCTGAGATCTGTCTTGAACATGTATGGACGGAGAATGTTGGTGTCTCAAAGTAAGTGTTTTTGTGTGTTTCTATTCGTATTGCTTTCGAGAGAGATTTAAGAATAAATTCACTAAAATATTTATTAGTCAATAAGAAAAATTTTGAAATTCTATCTTTTTTTTTTTAGAGATATCTGCGGTCGAGCATCTAAGGTTTTTTTGACATCGGACTTTGTTCGGCAAAATTACTTGGGTTATCTGATCCCGAGTCGTTCGCAATTATCTCTAGTAAGATTAGAGAAGACTAACAAACAACAGCAAATCCTTTTTGGAATGGTAACAAATATCGTAGCTAAGGATGCCATTAATTTATCAGTTAGTATATATCGATATATATATATATATATATTAAGATAATTTTTTATTAACATTAATTTTTTACTTGTACTTCAAAACTCAAAGAAAAATAATTTGAAATACAAAATATAGATTAATTAAATAAATTGATACTTTTAAAGTATTTTTTTTTTTAGAATTTACACATGATAGCAATCGTGGATTTGTCAAATAATATTGTGTTATACACGGGAGTTACGTGCGTGGGCAAGCTACACATATCTGGCATGCTTTCAAATTTTACAAGCAATTATTTTTTATCGAATAGCAATCCTAAGCTTGGATCCCCATTTCCGAGACGAAGTTCTTTGATTTCTCAGAGTTGTACGTCACACGAAATTAAATTTGAGGAAGCTTTACATTTACTGAGTCCTGTAGGTGGTAATTGTGCCCGTCCCCCAATATTGTTGGAAAATTCATTGCTGGATACAAACTTAATCTCTTTGAAAGAAGCTGTGGGCAATGAGGTAACTGTGGGATGTGGAAACCAGCAATATTTTCGTATAAGTTTGCCCGTTTCCAGTACATCACCTCTAGGTAATCTCTGAGAGAATTATTTAGGTATAAACAAATTTATTATAATAGTTGCAAATTAATGCTTAATTTATCATATATGTTTTTAATAGTTACCAGATGTTTACACACATTACGATGTGTTCTTCAAAAAGATTTAGCAATGCAATTATTAATTAAATGGTACGGCGCTAGAAACGCCCCAGGCCCACAAGATTTCTCACCGGCGCAAGAATGGAATCTCTTTCTTATAGTTCTATTCACGTTATTGGGATATGACGTAGAAAAACTGCATCTAATTCAAAATAACGAAAAGGATCCGTGTACAGAACGTAACAGTCCTATGGTATTACCCAAAAAACAAAAACTAACAATTTTGGATCTGCGGATGATTGGATGTACTTATTGAATTCAAACGAACATAAAAATTCACAAACTTTTATTTCGACTATACTAAAGAACCAGAAAATTCAATCCAATAATCATTGCGAGACATTTCAAAATGTTACAGAATCGAGTAACGTTGGTAAAATAAATACACAAGCCGTCCTGTTTCCACATTTTCCACTTATTTTATTTTCACTTCATCTCTTGTATGAGGAACTCAAATTGAACAGCGTTATGTCAGAAAGCCTGCCATTGCTTGGACAGTTATTGTATCAATTAAGTATAGATTTAAAATTTGAAGTGTATACTCATCATTACTTTCTTGATTCACCTTCATTGTTGTATCTAAAAACTGAAAAATCTCAAATCAGCGATTCAGACCTGCAAAAGATAACAGTTCCAAATTATATGCCTCGGAAACCACCGGGCATATTTGAAATGTTGAACGATATACTGAATGGAACGGACGTGACTGCATTCCCGTATCTAAGCTACGTTAATCCAAGAACGAGAAATATAGTATATCTGATAGCGCTTATAGCAAATGAAAATCGTGTTGATATAATAGAAATGGAGAGATACGTTAAATTAATCATGCCTGCTGGAAATCGTATCGATATTCAAGAGAATGCAAGCAAATCTGACAAGGAAATACTGAAGAAATTGGAAGAGAAACCTACGATGGATAGAATAATATTATTATACCACGAAATGAGTAAGATCGCGCTGCAGCAAATTCAAGTCTGTTATAAAAAATTATCTCTTTCCTAACATAAAATAAATATTTTTATTCTAGATATGACAAAAGAGGACCTCGAGACATTACCACCTGCAATATCCTTGATGATAAAAGATGTTATGCACAGGTGTAGAGAAAGTCCACCGTCGAATTGGCCTACGCACACGTACGAACTTATAGATCGCCAAGATCTAGCTGCGTTAGATAAGCATTTGAAACCGTCGTCGCAGTTGCAATATATCGACGGTGAAACAAGAGATTACGGGATAAAGGATGAACAAGATGACGGCATGGAATTTGATGATACGGTACACGATTTTTTGTATTTCTCATACATATATACTGCTTTGAAAAATTATTTGTCTTATTTACAATGGATATAAGAACAGATTTTTATACAAATGTTATACTTACAATTCACTCTGTGACTTTTATTCCGTAGATATTGAAGTTACGATTTAATAAGGATCATAGAATCGCTGAGGTGCGAAGATTGCTTAATTCTTCAAAACCAGTGAGGATAGCGATAGTTCAAAGATCAAATGTAAGTGATCATGAGTTTATAGAAGAGCAGGAGAGACACCTGAACACATTGTGCACGAGAACGATGGCATTACCCGTAGCTAGAGGCATGTTTACACTGAGAACTTCTACCCCGATGATCACAGAGCAATTACCCATTCCGAGATTGTGCCTGACCGGTATGATCGACTACGCTGTTTAATTAATTCAAATTTTTAGATATTATTCTGCCTCTTTGCTTTTTTAATTGATTAATTATTTTGTGTGTTTTTATTAGGCAAAGCACCACCCCGTGGGACCACCGTCGAGCTAACTCACATAGACGTTCCGGCAAATATGAATTTGTGGCCGTTGTTTCATAACGGCGTAGCTGCGGGCTTGTGCATCCATCCAGATGCTGCAAACATTGACTCGACATGGATAGTATACAATAAACAGCAACAGGGTGAATATGGAGTGGAACACTCAGGATTTCTAATGGCTCTTGGTTTGAACGGACACTTGAAAAACTTAGCTCCCCTAAGTACATATGAATACTTAGCCGATTGTCACGAGGCTACTAGCGTTGGGCTTTTGCTGGGCCTATCAGCGACGCATCGTGGCACGATGAATGTATCTATGACCAAGCTACTGTCGTTGCACGTAGAAACACTTCTGCCTCCGACGAGCATCGAATTAAATGTACAACAGAATGTCCAAGTAGCGGCGTTAATGGGAGTTGGCCTTGTCTACCAAGGAACCGCGCATAGACATATTTCGCACGCTTTATTATCTGAAATTGGTAATTACCTATCAATGCGCATACACTTACATATATCATTAACATATACGCCGACGTACGTACATTCATTTTTATAGGTAGGCCGCCTGGACCCGAAATGAAAAATTGCGTGGATCGTGAATCGTATTCTTTAGCAGCGGGATTAGCGTTAGGTCTAGTCGTACTTGGTTCTGGTGGTGGAACGGATGTACCTGCGAGTATACCTGATACTTTGCACTATTACATGGTCGGCGGACACATAAGGCCTTTTTCTGGAGCACAGAAAGATAAATATAAGTCTCCCAGGTATAATAAAGTTTGCACAATTAAGATTTTCGCGAAAAAGAAAAGTTTGTGCTTTGTGAATATAGCTCACGTATTTTTGTTACTTTATAGCTATCAAATACGCGAAGGTGACTCAATCAACATCGACGTAACGAGCCCTGGTGCAACGATAGCTTTAGGATTAATGTATTTTAACACTGGAAATCGTGCGGTAGCTGAATGGATGCAGCCCCCCGATACGCAATATCTATTAGAGTTTGTAAGACCGGATTTCCTGTTATTAAGAGTGCTCACCAAGTCACTAATTTTATGGGACGATATCGAACCAAGCAAGTCATGGGTATCTAGTCATGTGCCAAATATTGTTCAAAAATATAGATTGCAGAGGCCTTCGCCGGAAGTTTTGCAGAATGTGGATTTGGAAACTATAAAGTAAATAACCGTTTCTTAATCGATGAAGCATCCGTACTTTTCATCTTTATTTAATACGCAAACTTATGCGATTCATTATTAAAATACATTATACTTAATGCATCATAATTTTTACAGTCAAGCCTACTGCAACATCGTGGCGGGCGCTTGTATGGCATTGGGTCTGAGATATGCAGGCACCGCTAATAAGGAAGCTTTCAAGACTTTGTTCAATTACGCTCAGATGTTCACGGCATTGACGCATAAAGCCATAGCCGAATTGGCTGGTAAAGCTACCATTGAAACATGCTTAAACGTTGTTCTGCTCTCAACTGCGGTGGTGATGGCGGGCACCGGCAGTTTAGATGTAAATTTTCGATACGTGACGATGATTCACAAAGCATTTATTAATAAGTTATTATAATCTATACGAATCACATAGGTAATGAGGATATGCAGACATATACGAACTCGCGTTGGACCAGGCAGCAGCGTAGTCACATATGGTTCTCATTTGGCAACTCACATGGCTCTCGGTCTCCTTTTCTTGGGTGGCGGAAGATACACACTTTCCAATAGCCCGAATGCAGTAGCAGCTTTGATAATTTCACTTTTCCCAAAATTTCCGACTCACAGCAATGACAATAGGTTTACGAATGTTATACCTATAATACTTTCTATCTCATTTTTTTAAGAAAAAAATAAGTTAAACTTAATACTAAATCCCTATTATGTTATATATATTATGTTATAGATATCATTTACAAGCCTTGCGCCACCTGTACGTATTAGCAGCTGAACCACGTATCATCTTACCGAGAGACATAGATACTGGCCAATTCTGTTATGCGACAATACATTTAACATTTGAGACTGACAAAGAAGCTGAAGGACAAGAAATCAGTCTACAAGCGCCCTGTTTGTTACCACAATTACGCAGTTTGAAGAAGATTGAATTGAAAGATCCGAGATATTGGAAAATCACGTTTGTAAAACATCATAATTGGCAACAACTAGAAAATATGCTGGAAAAACATGATTTCTTAAGCATCAAGCAACGAGCCGGTTGTTTATCTTATCTGGAAGATCCTCATGTAAAAAATATACTTAAAAATTATTTTCAAATATACGTATCACTTTTATAATATTAGTTTAATGATTATTTTATTTTATTATAGGGTTTTAGAAGCTTAGTAGCTCAAACTTTAACGACAGAAAATGCCATTGCGTGGGCTGCTCGACCAGAATATGTCACATCGTTTACAAATGATAAGACTGTACTAAACATAGTGAGATATTTTTTGCAATGGTCTAAAAAAGAAAAAATTTCTTCCGAAAATATTAAATATTCATCACAAAATGGTATGGTTTGATTTATGCTCTTAATAAAAACCTTAACTTAAGATTAGTAAATAACATTCGCAATTTTTATATAATTTTTTATATAATTGTTTCAGATATACAATGCAAGATTCCAGAATTTGAACAATATTTCCTTCACATATTTGCGATAATCGTATATGAATGCATCACGAAAGATAAAGTCAGTCTTATACCATTATGGGTACGCATGATTAAAAGCCTAAGCATTATTGAAGAGCAACCAAATAGTTTCTCGATATGGCAAATAAAGCTTCTTTCATCACAAATCTCGAGGAGAAACAATTTCACAGATGACAAGAATCCATTATTCAGCATAGAAAGTATGCTCGCGATTAAACAGAAAACAGCGATGAGTCTGGATAAATGGGAGCAAGGTATTTATTAATGCGTCGCATTGAAATTATTAATCTTATTGTTTTATTTTTTCTTTACTTTTTAGATTTAACATCTGTATTTAAACAATATCTCACGAATGGAACGGTACAGGCTGATATCACATCTTTGGCTAAAATGTGCGCGTATTTCATATTCTATGGAATACCATATCCAGTCGACAATAAAGCAATCTGTGAGTTTTTGTACTTGATCTTTGTATTTAATAAGAATATTTTTTTCATTTTCCATATTTATTTTGCAGCGGGTTCGATGACGGCGACGCAACGCTCGAGTATACTAAATATTACAATGTACAAATTGCATAAGGTTCTACAGACAGTTTGAAGGTAAAATTCTTATGCTGTAATATGTATAATAGAAAATTGAAAATTATTAAATAAGATTTTTTCTTTTCTTAAAATCATTGATTTTATTATCTATTTTAAACATTAAGAATATTATGTATATAAACATACGATATTATACAGAATAAATTTTCTGTATGATAATATTATTTATAGAAATTGCATTTTTAATGAAAAATAAGTAAAAGTTATATGAATATAAGCATTTGGACTTTATTTAAACGAATCGTAAATTTAAAAATAATCGTAATATATTTATAAAATCATTACATATAGATATATACACATATAAAATATATTTTATCACGTTAATACATATTTTTATAGAATATTCATATATCGTTTAGATCACAGAAAGTTTCAAAATTAAGCACTCTCTTTGGATAGCATTAATAATTCAATAGAATTATTTTTTATATATCAATCCAATCTGGTATGTACATTGTGCAAATTTAAATAGGACCACAGAGACATGTTAAACAAATGAAAGTGATAAAATACTACGTAAATAACCCGTTTCGTCTTCTATAAAACTGTTCTTCGTGTATAATAGGTATACCTGTTAGCGCATATATCAAGTTATCAATTTTTTCTCCTATAAATGTATAAGAATATAAACATCCAACTAAAATGCCCCCTAGATGGCCTACGAAGGAAGAGTTTGGGACCAACAGGTGTATCAATATCAACTCGAGCCATACCGCTAATTTACTTGGTACTATGAACCCATTGATATTGTGCATCCTGTCGTGTTCTTCGCATAATGCGACTACCTTCAACGCGAATAACGTGGCGGAAAAGCCGATGGCGCATGTCGTAAAATATCCATAATCTCCCGTTAACTGCATCAGTATGTATCCTAGGAATACATACATAGCGCTACATCCAGTGGACAATATAATGAGTAACAGTATAAAATTCATTGTGCCATAAATAGGCTCCAGGTAAAAGCCTTTCAGAATGAAAGAAATCATGTTATAATATAAATGCATATCAGATCCATGTTCAAAGTTGGAAAGAAAGAACGATCGCCAGTTCTTGTACTTGATTATCTTCACGGCTGATATACATACATCCTCTGCATTCCATGGTACCTGTATCAGTCCAGTGTACAGTAAAGTCTAGAACATACATTCGAGTAAACATTTATTATACTTGGATGATACCAAGATTATTTATTTTCTCGTAAAAAAATAGTTATACCATCACAAAGGTTTAATTTTCCTATCATAATCTAGCAAACTATTGATCTAAAGGCTATTGACTTGGACTATCAGAATCAAAAATTAAATTATTGTTATATATTGTTTTTGTAAGAATTTACCTGCCCAATGACTCCAATCAAAGTAGCAGGTGGTATTTTATCAATTCCAAAATTAAGGGCCTGCATACATAGCAGAAATATCCCATACTCCAGCCCCTGTTGCCGTCTCTGGTTTCGTATCATTATGAATATGATGCAATACTGCTTACAAATAGTGGTTGCGACGACCAATTTTAATAATACACCGAAAGACCAAAGATGCGTCACATTTCTAGAATTCTTCTATAGATAAATTTTTTCAGATATTCATGATCTCAACTGCCACAATTCAGATTTCGCTGAAGATGCGTTTGCTTCTCCTTAGACTTGGAAAAAAAGTTTTGAGAAATTTCTAGAAAGCCACCACTCGATACTGTAAAAAAAAAAAATAACGAAATCAAATCGAATTTAAAAAAAAATATCGATATTCATAACTCGATCTTACATTCAAGATTTTAAATCAGATTTCGTGATCTTAAGATTGTGCAATCAGTGAAACGTCTATATTAAATTTTGAGATTAACATACATATTTTTACATATAAAATATATATAATGGAAAATAATTTGTGTAATTTCAGAATCTATGATATTATCTTCAGAGACTAAAACAAATCGTTATTCGATCAAAAAAAGAGTGTTCACATGATAATTTCGACGTCGTCAAGTTCTATCGCAGTTTATTCAGTCGGTAGAACAGTTA